TTGAGCGATATTTTACTAAATATTTTTTGAGCGATTTGGACAGTGACTTCAAAAAATCAACCTACGTTTTTCTAATCATCGAAATTTAAGTATCGCTCTGATGTAGACATTGGTAACATGAATTTAAATTAACAAGATTTCTCGGGTTGTCGATGTGAAACTGTCGTCATAAGGGAGATATAGTTATAGACTCTTTTCGATAGCCTTTGGTACCTCCTGGTGGTTTACAAGTTTCAATTTCGGGACGGCTTGGTGATGCTTAACCCAAAACATTTCTCGGAAGCACTAAAGCCGTGCCGGGTACTGTCAGAAGAAGCTGGAACTTCCTTCAAGAGACGAACAAACGCTAAGATTACCGTCAGGTTGACTGCTGGACAATCTAGCAGTGGTCAGAGCCATAAAAAGCCGAACCAAAATTGGACTATCCAAGCAGGGCAGTCGAAGAAAAGGGTGAAATTGTCAAGTGGTTTTTTACGGTCGTTGACAGATCGAATCATAGCCGCTAAAGTAACGGCCCGTACAACCAAAGAAAATCTGGAAGTCCTGAATTCCTTAATTTTTAAGGGTGGAAGGATGGGATTTACTAGTAAATTGTGATAGGAAAGATAGCTGTCCTATGTACAGCTTACAAGATTATCGTTCCAATAATTTCGCCCTGGATTATTTTTTCAGATAATGGAACCATTTATATCATTATTGCATGAAAGTGGTGTTTTCCCCACTACTGATCTCAAAAAACTTAGCAATTTTTCGGCATCTTTTTTGCAAAAAATTGTACAGAACAAGGCGTCTCATTTGGTGGAAACATACAGTGATTTTCTTGATCTCCTCTCAGCATATAATACGTTGCTATGCCATGGTCTTACAGCATTTGCTTACTATTTACAAGGTGAATTTTTCTTTTTCTGCTTTTTTTTATTTTTATTTTTTTTTGTTTTTAAGTTTTTTTTTTTTTGGCGGCGCATGACCGAAACATTCCAATTCAGTTAATGGACCAAAACATTCCAATTGAGTTTTTGCTTTTAATTATTTTTTCCTTTTTTGTTACAATCTTTTCCCATAACTCCATAAAATATACCTATTGAGTATCTTTGATCAAAATCCATTAGAAATAAGGCTTCTTCTGCATTTTTGCTCACAATTTACGTTCCAACGAACGAAAATCTTTTCATTCTTCTCTATTTTGAGCTTCTCTCATCCACATAATTCCTTGTGATCTTTAAAGTCAAATCCACCATGAATCAATTATACAGAATCGGCTTTAGTAACATTTGATGAAGTTTATGTTTACTAACAATTTTTTTTTAGCATTAGCTGCTCGAAACACAACAATCTCAGCGTTGATCGAATCCAGTGCGATCCTCAAAGAAGCTTATTTTCTTCCAACAATTTCCAGACCCACAGATTTAAAGTATCACAAATTGGATGCACTCATTGCGCTGCTCAAGAAAACTCGTTCACGTTATGGTTTCTTTTCTTAAACATTTCTTGTTACTTTTTTTTTTTGCTCACTGAAAAAATAAGCATTCACGGAGTCTAGGAGGCTGAAATTTTAGGGGAATGACCCCCTGCCTCCGCTTAACCTTGACCATTCAAATTCAGCGTTCTCGCGCTCTCGGGTACCACCTGCGGCCTCGTGAAAATTTTGGCGGGTAAACTATTAACTCGGGAATCACGAGGGAGGGAGCGAATAGGAAGATTTTGATTTTTATTGATTTCAAGGCAAGAATGTTACTTCAGAAAGTTTTCCTTTTTTTTTCAGTTAAACAAAAATCAACGGTGGTTGTTTTGTGCAGGGATCATGAATCAGCATTTGCTGATAATTTATTGGCAGCGTTAAAAATGCGAATTGCTGCTGAAATAAATGGATTTGCATTTTTTCTCTGTAAAGGTAGTGACTTTTCTAATCTTTTTTTGGTTTCCGTTTAATATTTACGTAATTTATTCCGATTAGATGCAATTATATTCTGATTCGGTGATATGTATTTGGCAACTTTCCAATTATTTTGAACAGTGCTACACTCGTTTTAATGGCCAGTCTTATGGTGATTCTGGTGCTTTTTTTATTCCTTGAATAGAACAGCAGCTCGACTATTTTCTGGACAATTACTAAAAGTCGGCTTGACTCGGTCGGCGCCGTACACGGTTTGCGAAAAATTTTTTCTGCCAGTGGCGGGTATCTTTACCCCACTGTGGCAAAGGACGTTGAATGCCGCAGATGGGGTGGAGGAAAGGATGTGGGGGGAGGGGGTAATGTATGCCGGTTTTGTGTGCGGGGATTTGAAGCAGGGGGAATACGTGGAAGGGGAGCTATCCAGCACTCAATGGCAAGATGCCAGCAAGCACCGCCGCGAAATAGTGTTAGCAGAGAAGCCAGAGCGTCTCTCAGTGGCAGCCGGCCGAGCCGAGTTTTAGTAATTGCCATTGGCTACGCCCTAGCAGTTTGAAAATGTCCTTGGTGTATGTTGAGCATCATCAGTTTGTCCAGTGCGCGGCTCTTTCTAGTTCAGGATGAGAACCGCTTGGGATGGAAGAATCGCGTGTGAACTGTTCTGTTTCTTGTTTTTGTAGGAAAAAAGTGAATTTCTTATTTTAAATATTTTTTTTCAGGGAAACAGCAACAAAAGACGATCTCTGAACAATCATTACGAGTAGGTTATTTTTTTTTCTTTGTTTTCGAATATCGAATTTTGGTTGGCAATTTATTTTTGTTTTGTTTTTATTTTTTTTTTTTTTGTTTTGGATTTCGAATTTGAGTATCAGCGAAAAATAGCAAAGCAAGTCCTATTTTGAAGATATTTTCAGGATAACGTATGTAATGTTATTATCATGCCATGCGGAACTGAGAGTACGGCACTGAACATCGAATGTGTCGATCTGCTGATATGTCTCGATGAGGGGTTCGTTTTTTCAGCTCCAAATTTTAAAGTATTTCTGATCCGAAATAATTTCGTGCCCTTTTTTGCATGTTTTTGAATTTTTCGTAAAATCACAGAAATGTAAGAATTTGTGTTCCTTGCATACTTTTCCAAGATTCGCTTGTCTGCGGAGTCCGAGTGGTTGCATTTTGTCAACAAATTGCTGGTATTTTTCTCGTTTGAGGTTTGCTTAGATGCAAGCGCATGGCTGTTTTGTCCTCCTGGGATGTGGATTTCAACCCACCAGGCCTAGTTTGCCATTGAATTAAGCCTACGAACCGTAACGGATGAAACTCCTTGCTGCTGAGTTCGTACTTTCAATCTGAACTTAAGAAAACACCACTTGCCTTATCGCAAAGATGTCCAGTTGCTGCTTAGAAGGCTTCGGATTTTTTTTAGTCTTGACCTGTCTGCCTAATTTCGTAAATTTCACATTGAATATCAAGAAATTCGGTGAGTCATCTCCTCCTGGTCATTTTTAGCCTCTCAACGCTTCATTATACAGGAACGATCAAAGTGAGCATTGATGGCAGTTTAAACGTACTTTGCTCAGCAGATTATGAAACGGTTTGTATCTTCTCTTTGGTCGTACCCAAAAGAATTTTTTGGAAAAAAAGTTTTTTAAAAACCAAATTTTAACAAATTTTGCTTTGTATTCGAAGAAAAATTTGATCAGCTGTTGTTTCATCATCGCATTTCTTCTCGCCATTAGTGTAGCTGGCAACTTTTATGTACCTATTTAAACATTCTTTCATCCACATAATTCCATTCAGCCGTTCAAACGGGACATCCTACCATATTGACGATTTTCGTTGCATTTTTTTAGTATCGCATGGGTACCATTCAATTATCCGCTTTGTCTACGCACCCCACTCATATTTGGAGCGAATGGACAAAAATAGGGGGTTTTTTGCTGCATGAATTTCTTTGCCATTTCAGAATATCTACAGTTTTGCGACGGCTGAGGGAGTTGTTGATTGTGTTCAAGAAGAATGCATTAAAGGTGCCCAGCTCTGTAACGATGTATTGTATATGCTGCCAGCGAATCCAGTTCCTGAAATCATCGAATTTTGGGCGGAAAAGAACGACAAAAAGTCCGTTTGATGATATTAACGGTTAATAAAAAACAATAAAAAATAGTAGTATTTCATTCGATCAGCAAAAAAATAATATTGTTATCATTAGGTTAAAAATGAAAATAAGCGGGCAGTAATAGTGATAACATTAATAATATTAAGGTGGAAAGAAAAAGGTAATATTAATGATGTCATTGATAGTAATAATAATAATAACAACAACAATAATAATAATAATAATAACAATAATAA